TGAGATCACTTTTTGGTTTGGGGTTGTTTACCCCCTCTTAGGCCTTGTTAGGCCTTGTTTTAGGCCATTCCTTTTGGCCCTTGTTCTTGGCTTTGTATGACCTTCCTACCACTGAAATCCAGAGGATTTTCAGTGGTGGGAAGGTGGTTTTGGAGTCCTAAATAGGAGAGGGTCATGCCCTCTCCTTATTGTCTTGAATGCTAGTATAAATGGCTTATATTGGTAGCATGTTTGCTTGGCTTATTTTAGCTTCATTTCAGTATGTATTAGGCTTTTTTTGCCATGATATAACACTTTTTTGACTTGGTTTGGACATACCATGTATGCTTCATGTACTTGCCTTGCAATCCTTTCATTTGCCTTAACATGCATCATGCTTTAAGCCATGTTTCTAGCATGATTTTGGCTCGACTCCATGAAGCTTTTAGCCTTGTTGTAACATGCTTAAGCTCTGATTTGAGTTGTTTTGACCATATATTCCATGCTTTGTATAGCCATAAGGCATTCTAACTTGATAGCCTTAAGTATCCAAGTCACTAGCATGCTTTACTTAGACCATTTTAATGATTTGGCATCATTTGTTATACTATTTTAGTCCATGTTTCATGCTCAAACACTTGCACTTGTCACTCCTTTAATGCTTTAAAGAGTTGATGTTTTATGCCTCATGAATGGGTCATTGTGTGTGCCATCATGTTTAGGTCTTTAGGATGCCATCTAAGTGGGTTTTTGGTCTTGTTTTACCATGCCATGAACTCTGTTTTTAATTGCTTAAGTCATGCCATGTTTGATTTTGATAGGTGTAGTATAACACCTCTTTTGTAGCCTTGCATGCCTCATGCTTTTGGCTCTTTGTTCTAGCTTATTTTGGCCTTGGTCCTTGCATGTTTTAGGCTCATTTTGGCATGATCTAGGACTGTTTTGGATTATACCTGTCATTTGCTTCAGATTTTGCATAGCCTTGGTTTGAGCCCCTTGGTTAGTTTCAGGCTTTAAGCCTTTTTACATGACTTGCTTGCTTTGTTTGGTTGGTTTGGCACCTTTCCTAACATGATTTCAAAGCTTACAATAGATGTCACATGTCCATATTTGCCCCCTTTTAAGTGTTCTTGAAAGTTGCTCTCCTATGCTTAGGTGATAGGCCAATTGGCATGCATGTTTGTATGTACCTTTGTCTTCATTTCCATAGCATTTTGGCCATTGATTTGGGCACGTTTAAGAGTTGTTCACTTTAGTTTAAGTCGATCTTTGCATGTTGTTGCATTCTTGCATCATTTTGCATGTTGTTGCATGCCATGTATCTTCACATGTTTAGGTAATATGCCTATTGCACATTAGTTGCATTGTATGATCTAGTTGCAAACTTGTTGGATGCTTGAGTTGTTCACATCATGCTTGCATGTTTGCATTGCATTATGTGTGCATCCCTTGCCTCTTGATCAAGCATGATAGAGGTTAGGGCCCTGTAGACACCCCATTTTTGACCGTCCTCAAGACTTGGACGTCACCGTTTGAACACTCGGTGATTATCCATGTTTGTGTTCGTTTGGAATTCCCAGGGGTCTCGGCTACGCGCCCTACCTCAGGATCTCCGAACTTGACCGTTTTGTGTCTGGTTTTGCACCAAACACTTGTGTTTTGCCTTGGAGGGGCAGGGAATGCTTTGTAAGGCATCCCCACACACCACCGGCAGTGGCTAGAGGCCACCGGCTAGTTTTTGCTGCCATCGGCAATCTATTTTGCCGGTCGGCACATTTTGTTGCCGGTCGGCACTACTTTTTGCCAAAATGGCATCTTTGGCCGACCGACTACTGTGCATCTGCTTTTGCAGACATTTTATCACAGCTGTCTTGCTTTTGGCTCCCCTCCATACACGTATATGGAGGGAACTCTCTCTTTGGAAGCTTGTCTTGTAAGCTTTACAAGACAAAAGGCTCTATAAGAGAGAGCCTTCTCTCTTGGCTTTAGGGTTAGACACTTGAGAGACTTGAGATATTTTTAGACAGCCATTCTTAGGATTTTGATTTCTAGGGTTAGAAACCATACACTTTCTATCTCTATATCTCCCTCTTGTGTGTGCTTAAGTGTGTTTGTGCCTTACTATTGCACACAAACACATAGTGTTTCACCTTCACTTAGCTACTGAGGTTCTAAGAGGCTGGTTTTGGTGTTTTGGAGCTGGATTCAAGCCAAAGAGGGCTGTTGGAGCATCATTTGTGAAGGTGATCTACAAGGGTGAGAAACTTCCCTTTTATTCCCCATTTTTGCATTGCTTTTCTACCTATCTTAGAGCTAT